TTAAGATATTTTTTCTACATAACCCCTCCTGACTTTAAAGCTGGATCCGCCCCTGTCCGGGAAGTGTTGGTCGCACATTTTGCGGACACCCTATATATGTTTATATTAAATTTTGTTCAGTACACGAGATTCAGAACATTTAATTTCACGATATGTAAAGGTATAAACTGTAAGTCTGGCATATCTTTATTTTCAAGGTCTGGATATCGGTTTGGGCACTAGCTTGTATAGCTTCAAGTCTTGCATCACTAATAACTCTAACACTAGGAGGTGGTAGAGTTTGTGCACCTCCATTAGTAGGATTGTCACTGAGCTACTTATTGGTAGGATCTGGATGGGCATTTAGAGCGTTTACCGGACCCACAGGTTCAACATGTTGGACACCCGATTCGGCAGTATTAAGGCCGGCAGATGGTCTGCCTAATTTAGTCTGCGCCTTCGTCTTTCTGTTATTATACTATTTCGGAATGGCAGCAAATGTTTGGTAAGTTTTTATCCATCATTTCGATTTTTAGCTGCGTCTCTTACTATATTAATTAAGGAAATTATAAATCTTAGGTTATTTGCGTTCATCCACAACTATTTATCTGCAATTTTTAATGATTGTTGACCCTTAAGACACCCGATAAAAATATATTTTTGTTTTATTTGAAGTATTGTATTACTCTTTAACACGCACAGTTAGTAGTACTATAAAGTTTAGACTCATTTATACATTGACTCCACACATTGAAGTAAGAAGCAAACCAAAATTGGCCGAGTTATATATTTTATTATAAATGCGGAACAATCCAACATTGCTATTTTACAGTTTTGGTCATTTGGAACGCCAGTAATATAACTAAACAATTCAAACTAGTCTGCTCTTCAAAACTTTTTTAGTAGACAGTTTAGCTGGTTTAGAAAGGCACTCTGCTGTTGATTTCAAGCAAATTGATTCTTCTGAGAAAGTGAAAAGTGGCTGCAATTCAGTTTGATAAAAACAAGCACTAAAACATCAATAATTTAAAGATTTCATTCAAGATTCTCCACTCCACTTTTGAAGAAGTTCCGTTTCAATTATAAGTTTAAGTAAAAATGTTTTTCTATTCCTTGAATACCTACAGGCAACACCTCCCGAGGAATAACCCAAATTTGTAATTGCTCTGTATATTACTTTCCGGCACGTTCGTCTATTAGTTGTTCCAACGCACAGTAAGTAGAAACAAAAGATCGAAAACAATGGTAAATTGTAAAAGGAATAATAATTTAAGCCACCCGTTTAGATGCCGCCCGATTGAGACCCGATTATTCTCAGTCGAAACAAAGCATGGTAAATGACATTTGAATGGACCACTCGCCGAATTATCAAAAATAATGGAATATATTGTGCTTTCAAAAAAGCCGACCGAATGTGCGATAATCTAATGGGGAAACTAGAATGTGAGTAGAGGAGTTTGCAAAGATTAAACATTATCTCAGATTAAATGCTTTAATAAAATGCAAAAAACCAAGTCTCGCTTTTTTGGAAATTTTCTGACTCACTTTTGTTTCGAATAGAGTATATTATTGTAAATTGAAAGTATCCACGTATACAGAGTGATTCAAATTTGGCGTCATTCCTTTTAAGGGGTAATAGGGGCTCACTTATAGAGTACGAGAAAAAAAGGACTGTATAAGATCTTAAGAATATTTAATACCTCCTTAATTAAGTGGTAGTACCTTCGAAAAATATGCTGAAAAGCATGTATTTACATTTTTATGGCCTCTCTTTTTTTTACTCTCTGCTGAGAACAAATCGATCAATGATTGATTAATCCTGGATGTAAAAAATGATTCGTAATAAAGTTGTACTTTATTGGCAATATAAAGTTTATAGCGTATCAATTACCGTAGTAAAGAAATAGACCAAACTGTGGAAGCGTCGTAAATCGCAGAAAACACTAGAAGTTCAATTTTAAAATCTACAAAGAACGTAAATTTATTAAAAAATTAATCTATTGGCTTAATGTCCAACATTATTTAGCGATTTCAACTAAATTAGTACTAATCTATCGATTATTGGGCAAAAGTCAAAATTTATATTTTCATAAATAATCAGCCGTAAAAAATATAGTAGCTATTTTAAGCGTTAAGAGAATCCGAACTGAAACGTAATACGGTTGATGATTCAAAGAATTACACGGCCAAGGAATGTATTTAGGTATGTATGAAAATGAGAAACAGATCTGTAAAAACTGGTCAGCCGCTGGTGGTTTCGTGCCGGACATTGATGTTCAGAAATAGTTTTGTCCCAACTTGGTCACATGATACAGAGAGGGTAATGCAATGAAAGGGGAATATTTCTTGTTTTTAATTCTTATCACAATCGCAAGCGTCTGTTAATTTTTTTTAGTTGAACTAAATAGCAAGCGCTAGGCGTTATTTAATCTGGACGTTTTAAAATTGCTATTTACGAAATAAGTATTAAATGAATATGTTTCTAACTGTAAGCTTATGGTATATAGCGGTTTTGAGGGATTCAAGATGAAAATTGATTCAAAAGTTCAACATTGTCGTAAACAAGTTCAGAAAATCATTAATGCCTCTATTCTTCACATCTAGGTTTTTTTAATGATCCGAAATTCAACCGCATATGTTTTCATTAGAGTGAAATAGTGTACATTCTTAGCTTCCTTTCCTCATGGATGCTTTCATATTAGCGTTCGCTTAGTCTTCTTGCTACCTGGAACTTTACCTCAATATTGGTCATTGGCAACCAGGTGTTAAAGGTATTAATACGAAAGATTCGAGAACAAAATCTGATCAAAAATAAATGCACACAATCAAAAAAATTGAAGCTGTTTCATATAGGGTGTCCCACGGAAGTTGGAACAAATGGAACTCGTAACTAAATGATGAAAACATGTAAAAAAAATTTTCAAAATTGCCTACTATGGGAGTGTCATTGAGCTTTTCAAATTTGTATTTTTTATTTGATGTGTTAATTATTTAACGAGTTTTGAATTTTTTTCTAATTAAAGAAATAATATTAATAACATCTAAGTGTCAAATTAGTTCAGTTAAATGTGAGTACAAACGCGAATAATTCCAAATCGAAGCACGGAATATTTATGTATTTTTCCAAAATACCGCAAAACAACCGTACAGCACTGAAATGAGAAAATCAAAAACAAAATAGGAACAAATAGGCAAAAGTGATCAGAATATTTGAATACAAAAAAAAAGGAATTAACAATTTTTTTCATTTCTTTTGTTGTCCAAGAACGTTTTTTAGCGTACCAAATTTAAAATTAGCAACTTTACCAGTTCTCCATATAGAGCAAGCTCATTAGGAAATTTTCTGTACAACAGAAGTGAATAGTCCATTACTATAGAGTATGTGATTCATTTTAATTCATTGCCCAAGTTTTTCATACATGTTTCGTAAAAATTAGGCTGCAACCATTTTTTCGATCACTTCTTCTCTTAAGACAAGCAGACAATTTAAACAATCTGAAGAATGTAGAGAAAAGTTTGATAAACATAATCAAGCATCTGACTGGTATCGCCTACAAGTTTCACTAATGTGTGTCATGTCGTACGTTTGTGTATAATGTACATGAATTTTTCACAGGTAAAAAACAACAATTTACCATGAATTATCGATTCTTCTGATCAAAGTGCGTATTTGAATGATAAATACAATAACATACCACGTTTTGTAAAACAAGCTATTTCCTTTGAATTTTATAAAAGCGTAAAGACGCTGTTTGTTTTAAAGCATCAAAATATTTATACTCTGTCGGTTTAATCTGTCGAAAGTTTACTTTTCATGTTACCAAGATTGGATGGACTATTTTAGAAATATCAATATTTTGAGTTTAGTTCAATAAGAGAGTAGATACATTGGGTTTAATTAATTTTTCGACGACTATCGCATAATATATTTCATAACTTTTGGTAACTGTTTAACAATAGTGCTCTTGGTTTAAATTTTGAATGTTATAAACCCAAACCCTATGGACTGTAGCTAGTGAAAATCCGGCTATTCCACTGCTGTAAAATATAAATAAAATTCGTCAAAATTAACAAGCAACTTGAAATTGCAAATGTTAAACTAATTTACTGCTAATTTAAGTTTTGCTACTCTTTAGGGCTCCCTTTGCATTTATGAACATTTATGACTGCTTTGATTAGTTAAAAACAATTAGGCAAACGCAATATGCGGGTTGCAAAATGTGTTAAAGAATTTTCCAACTGATCGTCATACACTGGCTGAGCAAAACTTATTAATAAGTGGACTAACTAGTACACGTTTTTCCAGAGATTTCTCTCGATGAGGCATTAATAAGTATGTAGTGGGGCATTAATATGTCGGGATAATTCTATATCGTTATATAAATCGACGTATTTTACAGCTGGTTTGTATTTAGTCCGGCTACAAACCAGCTCGTTTTAAAGCGGGACTCGGTCCCACCGTTTTCTTATCTTCGAGGCTTTGGCAGGCTTTGTTTGTTAAGATTAATCTTACACTGGGAGTTGAACCGAACCATGGTCAAAGGAGGCAAAAACTTTTACAATTTGCAGCAAATTGCAGTTCATCAAAGTTCAATAATTCAGATTTTTTTCTGTAAAACTCCCAGAAAAGTGAACACATCTGAATTTTATTTTGACTTCTTGTTATATCTTTGTCATAAAATATATGTCTGTATCAGATTTTGGCAAATAATAAAGAATATACAGGCAGAATTGCAACATTTTAAATTTGTTATATTGTGCAACTTTACTGCAGATAATTTACTAAGTCTATTTGAATAAATGACTGTTTATAAAGTTATATTTACAAATGCTGCTTCAATCTAGCACAGAGACAATTGGGGCTAATTGGGAGCAAAAGTGCAAAAGCAAAAATTATTTCTGTTTTAGCCATGATCTGGCAATCATTTATATCCAACAGTCCAACAAATACATCGTGTTGAGCAATATTTCTTAAATTTTGTATTTTGTAGACCCTTAAAGGATCACTAATTCAATATTTATCTTCAAATGTGTAATGTATTTTCTGCCATCAACTAATCCAAGTGTTTGAAAGATTTTTACTTTTGAGTTTGGATTGAATAAAAACTATAAAAATATTGGCAGTGAGAATAAACGTTTTTATTGATCAAAATGTATTTTATGTGACTCTGATCCTTGAAAGGCAGCTGGGCTGTTTACAGTAAGTGTTTGGTCTGATAAAAATTTTGGGCTAAGGGACAATCCAAATATTTAGATAAGACTGCCCACATTTGGGGACGTAGGGATGTAATGGAAATATAACATTTTAAAACCACAAAATATAACACTGATAACCACTGGTACAAAGTGATGTTAAAAGAGTATAAAATGTGTACAGGGTGTAGAACCGTGTAGAGTGTCTTGATCATTTATTTAAAAAATTGTGAAAAAGTGGTAAATACTAAAGTTGTGCATTATTGCTACAAATTTTAAAATCTTAAGTTACTTATTTAGATTTTGTGGTGT